CTGCTGATGTCCAGGAAGTACAGAGGAGGACTAGGAGGGAATAACTCAGTGGAATTTGTGGGTAGGTATGGAATGCAATAGGGCCAGGGTGTCAAACTCATCCAGCCCCACAAGCCGAATGAGTGGTGTGGGGCCAGTCCATCGGCCAAATGGGACCCACAGACCAGCCCCACATGCCAGATCTGGCATGTGTCCTGGAGCAGCCGAAATGGACGCTGGATAAAATGGCTGATCCAGGGCCGTGCTTCACATAGCAACAATTGTGGGATGCACCACAGCATCTGGAATGGAGCTGACATGCACTGGAGCACGCATGGTCCCCAATGGACCAAAGCAAGGACTGCATGCAGCCATTTAGCATGACCTGAATATTGCTTGTGTGTCAACTGCATGACCTGCAGGCAGCACCAGGGCTGGATAATAGGGCTCCGTGGGCTGGATCTGGCCCATGGGCTATATCTTTGACACCCTTGCAATAGGGCAACAGGTGTAGGAGGGAGGAGGGGAAAAGGATGGAGTCAAATAAGAGCAGAGCCAGGTGAGCGTAGTTAAAGAGTAGAAGACAGAGACAGAAAGTGGCAGGAAGAAATATAAAGCTGGTTTGTAGCCACTCCATTTCAGAATCTGGAACTGAACCTGCTAAATTTCAGCAATCCTCTGGTGTCAGCAAAAAGCTGGTAAAGCATCTGGCTGATCATCTTTCTATATTTGGCCCACATACATGCTATAGTTATAGTATACTGATATTACCAGTTATTCCATTGATTAGAGTGGTAAAACCTCTGCTGTGGATCTAAAAATTCTAACCCTGCTACTGACTCACCCTGCATAAGTCATCATAAATCCACATTACAGTCTCTACTTTTTCAACTTTCTTTTCTTAAAGCCTTGGACACTGCATATAAAAAAAGATAAAACATAAAAGTTGTAAAATCAAGCACTGACAAGTTAGAAAATCCTAGACTTATGGCCCTCTATACAAACTTTATTTTGGACCCATAGTGTGTATGCATTGGGTCATTCCTTAAATAAATGATCACACATGAGGGTTTTTTTTAAAGAATATCTGCTTCATAAAATGTATTGGATGGATTATGCTCAGGGAATAATTTGAAGTTTTGTAGTGAAGGGAGACTGCTTTATATAGAGAATGAGATAGGCTGCCAGTGGAAAGAGAAAAGATGATCTCATGGTTTAAAGCAGCTGAACATAATCCTAGAGAACTAGATTTTACCCTCATCTCTGCCACACTTTCACAATGATGTGAAACAGGGGAGATGAATTCATTAATGGGTTTTGAAACACTCTGACACTGTAATGCTAAGTGCCATAAAAAAGCCTATGAGGAAATCAATAATTCTACATCCAATATGGTGTTTAGGTTATGTGGAGTCATGCACTGAATGAAGATGGTAAAATTAAATATTAAATAGCAACCCATTCAGCAAGTGCCATCCATTTTTTATACTGAATGAGGCAGACATGAGGAGGAAGAAAAGGCATGAGATCATGTAATTAAAAAGACCGCATCATAATCTCTTTATTCAATGGGTCAATTAAAGTTGTGCAGGCAACCTTAATCTAGCATTTCCAGACTTTGAGTGCCTGTCTCTGCAATGTTGATGCTTTTCGTTTAAAACAGATTTCTGGATTTATTTTTTATATAACTTTTCAGATCACTTTGTCAGTCATCATGAAACACTAGTCCAAGCAAGAGGAAAGGAAAATACACATTTCTAGGCAAAATTTAACTTGTAAGGTGGGAGATACACAAGGGTTACCAAGAGATGGGGCTACCCAAGTGAAATACTAATACCAACCTGCTAAGAAAGAAATAAGTAGAGCAACTACCTGGACAGAATGGGAAGAATATGATTAGGAAGACAGGTTAGAAAAATCCATAGTAAGTCTTGGGAACCAAATCACTAATTTTGAATTTGATTTGGAAATAGGCAGGCACTGGTGATAAAGTTATATTTTGGAGGGTACAAAAAAGCCAGATGTGATACTATAAGCAGAAGCCATTTCCTTTCACCTCTTTCAGGTCTCTCTGGCTGGACAGGGGATTGCTTGGTCCTATGACTCCACTTTCCTCACTCCCCATCTACACGGTGTGGGAGGAAAATTGTTGGGGGGGAAGAAAAGAGCAAGGTGGACAGCCAATGAGTGCTCTCCTATGCATGTGACTTCTCATCTCCCAGGTCTGGAGGTAGAAAAGCATGCAAGGAATCCTTTTCTTCAGCCACGGAGACTGCTAAAAAATGGTAAGTGCACAGGAGAAAGCTCACTGGTTGTCCACCCCACTCCTCCTCCACAAGTACAGAGTACCATAGAAAGCTGACAGTCCACTGAGCATAAAAAAAGAAGTACTTCAAAGATGTTCCTCATTTTCAAGGATGATTTCTGAAGCACTCCAGGAATTTCTGAAGTACTTCTTTGAACATAAACATCTACACATTCACTGCTTGGAGTGTGTTTCAAAGGCACCTGGAGTCCTTCAAACATTACATTTGTACATCTGCCATGGCTGGCCTCCTTCTTGATAGGAAGTTTGTCATTCACTGGTGAGCACATATTTGTCACTTCAGTCACTTAGTACACTAGAGGGACAGTGAGCTTTTCCTGGGATTCTTGGCAACACTAAGATTAACCACAGAAGAATTAACCACTTCACTCCAATGGAAATAAATAATGGAAACGAATAATACAGAGAAACAGATGACAGCAAGCACAAAAAAATAGTACTACTACACCTAACCAAGACAACAGCTTATAACTATTTTTATGGATTGCTGTTTAGATCTGAGTTTATTTTTCTAAACTTCTCAGTCGAAAAGAACCCAAAATGTTAAGAGGAAGCTGCATTTATGACTTCCCCCAGGGAAGGGAAACAAGATTTTTCTAGTTGGTAAGCAATGACAGAAGACATAATATTATTAGCAAAGTTAGTATTTGTCAATGTGAGAGGCTAATATAATTACTCAGCAAGAGAAATATTGGTAGACACATGACAGGATGAGTTCTAGTACCAATTGTTTTTTTTTTTTAATGAATCCTTTCATGAAAAATTTGCTGAAGAGAACTGAAAACTTTTAATTGATGCTACAAAAATTATTCTCTTTTAAAATAAACAAGAAGTATTGTATGTCAGGAAAGCCATAAACGAGCATTAACTTACCAACTGATGCGTCACCATCTAACAAATTATCATCCTCAGAGGTTTGAAAGTCCATAATGACACCTGCTCCATCTAAAAGCTCCTCATCACTGCTTGCACTAGTTATACTGTTGTAGCTGTTTCGATAGTAACCTCTGTGGAACAGCTGCTCAGACTCCATTTAGCTGCTTTGTAACCTAAGGAAAGAGAGTGCAGTGTTAAGAAGCAATTTTCTAAATATACACGAATGACCAGGCATTTAATATCCAGTAAAACAAATAAATTGAGCTGTGTGTGTCTGGGCACACAGAAAACTAAGATTATGTTATATATTTTAATTGCTATAGTTTTATTTTAATTGCTGTTATATTTTTCCTCTAATATTTTTCCTCTAATGCAAAAAGGAATTTTCTATTTATAGCTATTACTCCATTGTCCCCTCTCTCTTCCTGAGTCCTCCATAGTCTAATCTTAAAATCGAGTAGTATTTCACTCTGAAGAAATATGATTGGAACCCATCAATTTATGCCTAGCCCACATTCAAACCTAATCTAGCATAGTGCAGGGTGGGATCAATGACACGTGTAAAACTCCATGTTAAAACAATGAGGGCTGGAAGGCATATGTAAAAGTAAGCTTCCTTAACCACTATGGCAGCTCACAGTGGAGCAATGACATACACCTTAGCATACTCTCAACATACTACCCAAGTCAGTGTTCAGAACCATGCTAACAAATAAACCACAACATGTTCACCCCTGTAGAACTGCAAGAAACACATCCATTCAAAAAGTAAAACTTATGTACATTAGTCAACATTTGCACAGGCCAAGGATAAATACATCCAAAGAGGTAAGACACTATTGACTACTACATGCAGGAAATGCAAACACAATGCACGGTAGGGAAACCACCTTTGTTAACATTTTCTGCCAGATGCTGCATATGTTAAATTACAAAAACATTGTGGCTTAGCGGACATGGTTTGGGTATCACTGGTTTAGAGCAGGGCCGTCCAACTGGTGGCCCACAGGTCACGTAAAGCAATGTTTCTCTACTGGTAGGACGCAAAGGTCGTGTAAGTAGGACTTCAACTCATTTGAAAATTTCCATTAATGATTAATACAATACTAAAATGCATGTAAATGTAAAAATACACTTCTTGGGAAAAATGGGGTTTTGTTTTTATCACGGTGGAACCATGGTTTTTTGACAAAATGGTTGGTGGGATGTAAGGTGCAAAAGGTTGAGAACCACCGACATAAGGCACATGAATGGTTAACATGAAGCCCATGGTCCCCTGCAGCTGCCTCTCCCGTTGCCATGCATGAAGGCGCTATGTAACACTGGTGCAGCCCACACAGCAGGGAAGGACCCTAGGGGGTGCCCAAGCAGTGCCTAGCATCCAGTCACATCAAAGTTGCATATCCCTTGTTCAGAATATAAAGACAGTTTCAAAACAGAGTTTGAAGACAAAAAATGTTCTCTGTTGAAAAATGAGCTCTTAAAAAACTTTGAGGAAATTCAACACAAAAAAAAAGCATTTCTGTATACAATTTTTGTTCTGAGTGAGATTACTGAAAAGCACAATAGTCGATGAGAAGACTGATAACGGTAGCCATTAAATTGGAAAGGGCTGAATATTGAGCTAATCATTATGAGGAGCTTCTGTTAGAAACAGTAACTGGTAAATGAAATAATGTTACGCCAAAAAAGTTGTCTTTGCTACAGTTATGTAAAAGAACACCTTATAATCAGAAGCCTTAAAAGCTTGGAAACCGGAGGCCGACATGTTACCTGCATATATATGAACTATATTTAACATAGAGAATTGCTTCTACTATATTACAAGTTAATCAATATTAACCTCAGTTTTTAATCGCATATAGCCATGATCAAATATGATGGCAAAATGTATCCCATTGCTAACATGAAGGTGTCAGCGAGCTATAGCATATCACTTCTATACAGTTTGTATAAGATGTTAAGACAGGTTATTAAAAAGGACAAACTCAAACCACACATGATAACTAATCTGTCCTTCCTGCTGTGGCAAGGTTTAAGCCAGTCTTCAGTCTACGCTAGAAAAAACGCAGTTACATCTTGACAATTGTCTCATTCTCTCATTTTAATCAGAAGATAACCACTTGTCTCTTAAACTACTTCACTACATTACATCCTGCAGGCAACAGGACCCAACAGCAGAAAACACTATAATAAAATATACTTCTACTCCCTTTACATTCAATAGTTTTCCACAAAGAGAGAGATTAGTTCTCTATGTAAAATCAAAGGGTAATATGCCATTAAAACTATTATAGCAAACAAACCACAAAAATTGGATCATACAATCATAGAAAAGTAAGGCTGGAAGGAATCTCTGGAGGTCATCTAGTCCCATCCCCTGCTCAACACAAGCCATCCTATACAAGTGTTCTCCTAACTTATTCTTAAAACTTCACATGCAACCCTCTTGTACCAGGCACAATACCCAAAAACATCCTAACTTGTTACAGATAAAGCAGGAGAATGAGAGCAATGTCCTACCACTAAAAATAGTTTGTTAAAATGTGCTTGTGAAACAGGAAGAAGAGGAGGACTATGCTCCTGGCTACAGAGGAAGGCAACACCCATCACCATCACAGTTCACACTGATTTGACTGCAGGGCAAAATTCCTTCCCAGTCCCAAATGTGATGATCAGTCTAACTCTGAGTAAGACCCTCTAGCTAGAGTTTTTTTTAAGTACCAGCAAGAGCATCTGCCACCCCTGTCAAAATACCTAGGCTTGGCTGCAGCCAATACCTAATGCTTCGGAGGAAGTAAAAAAAAAAAAACATGGCTACACTAAAATAAGCATGGCTATATTATAAAAAAAAAAAAAAAAAAAAAAAAAAAAAAAAAAGTTTAGAAGCAAACTCAGAATTCCTACTTGAGCCAGCGAAACTGAGCACAGACAGGATTTATCATTCACACATACCCATGGCCTTGTACAGATATTTAGTTTATCCTGGGAGAGTCACTGTTCTCCCAGGAGGAACAACGAGTGTACAGATGTTCAGGCTTTTTCTCCCAGGGTAAAAATGACCACTCCAAGAGAAAAATAACCTAGGAACAACCATGTTTAAATCACTCCTAAGAAAGATTTTCCTGGGACAACGAATGTCTGTACATGCCATGGCTTCTCTCAGAAGAGAAAATAGTCCTCCAGCATCCCTACCTACCCCCAAGGGAGACAGTCTGTCATTTGCCAGACTCTGCTGCTCCAGAACACGTCCCCTTTGCAATTTCCCACAGTGAGCTGCAGGGAATCACAGGCTAACCATAGGCAGTCTGGGTCAGCCAATCAAGGCTCCTCTATGCGTTGCTGCAGTCTGTCCATAGGTGAACTAAGGAAGCCTGCAAAGCACACCGAGATGTGTACACAGGGCTCCCCCCAGCTGCACAGTGCCAGCACTGTAAGCTCTCCGCTCTTCAGGGCCACAGTATTCAAGTGTCTGTAAATATGGCCCTGGGTAAGTTTCTCTATCTGGAGAGCTAACCTGGGAGAATTCTCCCAGATTATCTGAATGTATGTACACAGCCTCTGAATTTATATATAGTACATGTGCGTACCTGATAGGGAACAGAGAAGCTGCCAAAAGAAAAAATTATGAGATCAAATTAAGAGACCTGTTTTATAAGCTATCTTTGGATACTGCAAGAAACCCTATCTCCAGATTCTAGCTACAATACTGTCCTTTTCTTTTTACCTACCTATAAAGTTGGGGTCAAAGGAAAAAATATACAAAGTACCAAAATCTGAATGCAAAATGTTCATTTCCACAAACCATAGCTAGTGTATTACTTAAATTTGAAGAATTGTCTTGTTCCACAGTGGACCAGGGTCTGTTCCTTTTTTTGCATAAGGAACATCAAAATGGAAAAAAAATATATATATAATCTCTCATATTCTATTATCAAGTGATAGTCATATTCAAGACATTTCATTGCTTCAAATTCAGTCTGCTTCACCACAAACTGTAAATTAAATCTGTTCAAATATGTACGACTAGGGGTCTACTGAACTTGAGGTGGCTGCTGGCTGATTTTGCATTCAGATCACAGGGCCAGAGAGTGGCACAGCCAGAGTGCGGCAGCCCCCGCCCCCATCCTCTACATCTCTGATTGGCCCTGGGGCCTGGTGACCCTGCCGCTCACTATTGATTGGCTACAAGGGCTGTTCATCATGTAGTCCCACCCCTCACTGCTGATTGGTGGGAAGGAGCAGGACTGTATGATGGACAGCCCTCACAGCCAATCAGTGGCAAGAAGCAGGGGCAGAAGCAGCCCTTGTCTCCCCTGAAGGGGCTATGCAACCAAGCTGCAGCAGGCACAAGGACTGCTGGCTCTCCAGAGGGAGCTAGCATTTTATTTTCAGTAAGGTTTTTTTTTTTTCAGGGAGCCCACCAAAAGCACAGATGCTTCTTCATGGAGCCTGCACTTTTTCATGAAGCTTGTCCAACATCAGAGTTTCTGATCTGGTCTCTATTTATGACCTGTATCAAGGTTAGCAAACGCAAAAGTGTTCTCTTTTCTTAGCAGTTGTCCATTTAATCATTAATTATAAGTGGCAGGATTGTGGACTGAGTTTAACATTACTACTGATGTATTTAAAAAAATAATTCTGTTATATAAATAGAGGCTTTAACTTATTTGGAACAGATTCCCATAAGAACATATCTGTAACAACAAGCACAAGAATAACATTTTCAGGTGCATGTGAAACCTGTGTGTTTCTATTTTTTAAAGTAGCTAGCAGTATGAAACTTGCCTTCAGTAATCTAAGGGCTACTCACTTGTTGAACTGCAGCTTAATATGGCAGCAGATTCATCCCATTTTGGGCAACCTCTAGCATCCACAGCAATACTGCTATCCTAAAACTCAGTGGAACTAGTTAGGAGTAAAATATCTTGGTCCAGAATGAATTCTTCACTGACATCGGCAATAGGTATTATGTTCCCCTCTTGAACTGCTTTGCCTGAAGTAAAGACCTCAATGTACATAATTTAGAGTCTGGAATTTTGAATTCAATGCCAGTAATAATCGAGCGGTGAAATGAATTCATTATTACACATCATGATGACAACACATCAAGCTACATGGACCCATTAGATGACAGACTGCATGTGGTACTTACAATGTTGAACACTCCATT